ATTATCATTATCATTATCATTATCATTATCATTATCATTATCATTATCATTATCATTATCATTATCATTATTATTGGTCATTTGATGCATTGGTTGGTTGATGTCGATGCCCAGCTGGGTGTTTGGCAGGTTGGTCAGTGGGTCAATGGCAAACAAATCTCCTAACATATGCAGCAATGATTCGGGTTGTCACGCGACACTCATCCTCAATAAAGGAGTGTTGTGAGACGACCTTAATAGCTGCTGCATAGGAGACTATGGGTACATTAATTAGGCTAGATCTCTTTGTTGGTCAGTATTAATCATAGAAAAATTAATACTTAAAAAAACACATACAGTAAAGCATGAATTTAATGTTAACAACATTAAGATATTCAGTTTAACTGTACCTGTTTTCTATAAGGCGAGATGATCCCAATCTGGGAAGGAAGCACGTTGATTCCTCGGGCATCCTTCAAGTCCTTGACATATTGTGTGACCACAGCTGCTTCCTCTGGGTTGAAAAATGATGGACTTTTCTCTTCACGCATGTCACGGCCCTTGATCCCCTCAAAAATGATCGGGAATCCCTTGCAAGGAAGTCGGCTCCAGTTACACAGTGATTCTCTTTTCAGTCTGTCCGCACAAGTTTCCAGTTCATCATCATAGAACATCTCATTGGGAAGCTGGAAAAATCACAAATTCAATTAAATTTATTTAATAGTGGATATTTCTGGAACAAGGCAACAATTATCATAATTAAAGGCAGGATTAGGTTTAACTTACACACTATTCAACAGTTCATTTGTCGATGAACAAGGTTGTAATACATTGTGCTATTACATACTTTCAGATGTACATGTACAATGTACATGCACTGTGATTTCAGATCTAGACTTTACCTCCAAAATCGATGGATGTGACCTGTAGTTCTTCAGTAACTTTGTAATAATCAGCGGGTTATAATCACCAAGTTCATCCTCTTCATCTTGTGGTATTCGGCCATAGAAAGGCACCTTTGTCATCATCCATTCCAAGAGAGACATACCAAGACCATACTGGAATTAACAAAATTAATTTAATTCAAATTACTTAGCATACATGAACATCATTCAGTAATCTTTGAAAAAATAAAAAAGTTCGTGAAGTTCAACGAAAAATAATACTCTGCTGCATGTCACTTTTTCAATTTTCTTCTTGATGTTCGGAAATGTAATCAAACCCCCTGCTGTGTTTGATATATTACTTCACATTGCATGTCAAAGTTTTAATTATAATCCTTTTTTTTACCTTAATGGCTATTGGTGATCGAAGTATTGGACCAAGCTGTTGGGGATCCCCTGCCAAAACCAGCTGGCCCCCTCCTGGAGTCTCTGTACTGAACAGTCCTGCCAGGGGGACGAGGCATTCAGGCTGCAGGGAGTGGCCTGCTTCATCAATGAACACATGAGTGAAGTGCTGGTCTGGAATCTCTCCCGATACTAATCTGGAAAGGCAAAAGAAAACATATGTGAGGATAGTTTATCATAGATCTGAATTTGAAAGACCTGGTAATATTAGTCTGACTAACCAATAGCCAGTCTCCTCTATGGGGTGTTCCTGCAGGGAATCATGGTACATGTGGTTGCATTCACCATCTTAGACTGGATATTTGTAATTTGATGAATACAACAACCATGATTCCCTGCAGGCATGTCTCATAGATGGGAATTGGCCATTAAATGTAAAACATGACTTGCACTGCTTAAAAAGATCCAAACTTTTGAGACAATAATTAGTCATTAATAAATAAGTATTATTTATTAAATAAATGGGTTTCAAACTTTTTGTTAATGAACATCAGGCTATGTCATCATCGGGGAGGGATCCACAAAATGAAATCAATGATATCACCACTTTTCAACCAATCAGAGTGCATGTTATGAAATGTTTGAATCCATTAAAAGTTAATTACTTTGTATGGATATCTCTATTACACAGACACTCATGAGGTTAGACTGCAAATTGGGTGACAAAACTTATAGCAACCTTCCTGCTGTGATCAGTGTGGAAACCACAAGGCGCTTCTCCATAATGGCCTCTTTAGATGGCATAAAGAAGTCCCCACCAGATGTGATGCAGCAAACATCCTGCAGTGAAGAAATTTGATAGATGAGCAACTGTAATCTGAACAAGATAAAATGCCAAAACAACCATTTTCATATGGTTATTAATTCAAGACGGTTCAAATCAATGGTCATGTTTATAGTATACCTTGATATCTTTTGGAAGAGAGAACGCTGACCTGCCAAAAGCATTCAGCCTCATCATCTGTGACTTTGGAATGACTGCGTGCTCCATAACTCTCTGTAACACCAGGTCTGCAGCACTGTTGGATGGGGCACAAGCAAGGACATGGCTCATAGGAAACTGTTTCAATATCTGGTAAGCGAATATTATAAATAAATAGACTAGCTATAGACAAACAAGAAACAAACAGATAGTCACATTACTGTACATGCAAAGGAATGCAGCTGCTAGAAGCGTGTTGCTCTTTGCCTGCATTAGGGATGGCAAAAATGGTTCTTCAAAAACCATGGGTCTTGCAAAATTTTGGTCAAAATTCATGCATCTTGTGGTCCTATTTTTTTAGCAGTTCTGTACAGATGTATGTCTCAGATGTACAGTCTCAATTGTTTTGACAAGGCTGTCTCAGAGAATAGATTTTTTACAAGGCTGGATCAGAAATTCTTGAAGTGTGGATTTGTTTGTTTGTTTTTATAAATGACATCTGACCATCTTGCACTTGTATTCAAAATACTATGAAGTCATGTAGACCTCACAATTTAAAAGGTCAAAATGTCTCGGGCTAACCCTAGCCTCGTCTCCTTGCAAAGTTTTGTATTTATACCATTCACCATACTTCACATTGTGAGTTTATTGATGATATCTAGAATATATGTAGGTCTGCAATGTGTCCAAAGGGCTGCAATTACTTAACAGGAGAGACTCCTGCATACATACCAGTAATTTATTAAATACAATTATTGCATAATGCTAAATTGTAATTGTGTATAACAACAAAGCAATGGTATCTTATACCTGTTTGATGGCCTCCACAATGGTAACAGTCTTCCCTGTTCCAGGAGGACCAAACACCAAGTAGGGAATTGGTCTGGATGTACCAGTAACAATGTTCTTTACTGCCTGTTCTTGTTCTTTATTGTTGTGAAGTTTTGCATCATAAAATCTAGAAATTGTAGTAGTAATGTCAATCTATTGATTCTTGCTACATATAGAGGGAGGCAGAGTGACCTGATGATTTATAGATCACTGGATAGTTTGAGCTTGGTTGCATCACTGAAATACATTTACTACATGTAAGTTCTTGGCAAAGACACTTATTTAAAACTTGTACTGAACAGTACTTCTTTACAACCCAGATTGGTGGGGTTCCAGGGAATTAAGGTACTGGGAAAGAATGTGTGTGTGTGTGGGGGGGGGNGGGGGATTATCCCTGTGATAGATCAGCATTTTGTCCATGAGGGAATGGCGATACTCCTGGTTGTTTAATCCTACCTGTAGAAACCAGAGTTGAGTCATTAAGTGCTGGCTATGTGAGTCACCCTTGTCTAGGCTTACACAGAGTTTACCCTTACCGATACCACGTTCACTTATTAACCGGGTGGCCATGGGCCGAGCGCGGTTCTTGCTCTGCACGGGATTTATTTATTTTTTTTTTTAGTTTTGTCGGTGACCAGACCCAAACTTCCTCTTGGCCAAATTTTGAATCATGCAACCTGTGATGTTTCTTCGCCAAAAGCTGTTGAAACATTAATACACGGACAATGTTACGGATATTGTTTTCTTTTTTGTGTGCAAAATATATTTTCTTTTGGTTTTATCAGAGCATTGGATTCGAAGGGAATAATAAATACACGAAAAAAAGGTATTACATCAGCCATGGAATGCACTGACGTTGCAGCTTTTACTTTCGCTACGTGACAAATACGATCATGTTTACTTTGCAAGTTTATTTCGCCAGAAGTGACAGCCTTTTTAGTTTTCCAATTATTTTTCGTATTTTTATACAAGAGAAGTGAATTGTCCTGCTGTTTTACTGAAGCGAGTTCAGAGATCGGAAGGAAAATCAAATATTTGCAAGCCAAGCAAAGAAAGTGTCAGAAAGTGCAAGGATTACATCATTGGTAGGGAAATAACCACCGTACTAAAGATAGCCGTGGATAACGTAATTCTTGAATTATGTGACTTGTGTGATAACTTTGCTAGCCCTTTACTCATGGAAAAAACAATTAAATTTAAGATTTCACAAAGGCTAAGAGCGATGGTGCAATAATACAGTTTGTGTTGATCAAGTGATGTGGTGTCTAGAGTAATCAATGAATCTTTGGAAAGTGCACTGCATTGCAACTGTAGTGCTAAGAAGACAGTTATTATATAAAATTGTAGAAGCGGTTATAAGATGTAAAGGATCTTCTTGTTAGTTATACATGTGCACATAATTATGCCAAGTTAGCACTTGTTAATGATGGAATTGAATTATAAAAAGTTCCTTTTCTAAAAATGGTGTAAAGCAGGTCTGGGTTCATGTCCCACAGTGTTCTCTCTCCAGCAAGTTGACAGAGCAGCCTTACAAGTACAGACTTCTGAGGGTACAGATCAAAACTGATTCAAAAGCAAGGGACCAGGCAAGGACCAGAGATCCTATATTGCACACTTACCTAAAATCTTGTTCTTTCTCCTCTAAGAGGGGGTCTAAATGTTTGCCAATTGTTAATTGTAAAGAAGCAAGCTGTGTTTTTTCTTCCATCATCTTGAATCCAATTTCTAGAGCTCTGTGCATCAGTTTTAATGGTGTCCTGTTGAATGTGAATCTCACATTCACCTTCATCCCTTTAATGTACTTCTTGTGAAAACTAAAACATCATTCATAAGCAAAGTAAGATTAGTACTCAAGCAGAACAAAAAATCCAATACAGTTAGTATGTTGCAGTGATTAACAACTTCTGTGGTCTGTCAACAAGTTAGTGATCTTCAACACATGAACCTATACCAACCCAGTGAGGGGGTGGGGTTTCAATAATTTAAAAAAAAAAATCTTGGACATAAAAGATCACTCTGGTAAAAGTACTTACTAGTGAGTAAAAGTTATTACATTTATTTAATATCTTGTTAAGATGCACAGTGAACATCATTGATTTATCAAAGCGTGACATGACATGTAGTAGTACCTTGGAGAAAACTTAAGACGAACATCACTTAATCCTACAACATGAACAAATCCTTGATACTCTTCCTTCTCTAGTTGTCCATTGCCATCTTTGACTCTTACTAAGATCTGATCACCTTTGATTACTGATGGGCGATTCTCAGCAAGACCAGGAACCTAAAATCAAATAATGAAGTCAAACCCATCTGCTAAGTGGTCACCCCTTATTAAGAGGTCACCATTCAAATTAATAAATTGCGTTTCACGTATTTACTGTATCTTTGACCTCCATTAAATTGTAGATTGCGCATATATATGTACTTTTGTTTTCTTGTTCAATTTTCTGCACAATAGTGCACTAAATTCTGATCACCTCTTATAAAGGGTCAACCTCTATTGAGTGGTCACCTGGCTACTTCTGGAGGGTGACCGCTTAATAGAGGTTTGACTGTATCAATAGAATCACCGTCTTGATGGCAGCAATAATATTATTTATATATTTATTTACACGTAAGTTATAAATTTGAATTCTTTATACATGTACTAGTAAATTATTTATAATTTGCACATTTCATCAGGTTCATCATTTGGGTAAGTTCTGTGTAACCGTAATAATCATTTTCATTCTGGTGCCATTAACTTTTGTTAATGAACTGTCAGGCCACTCTGACCCCAACATTCCCCCTCTTAGGCTTCTACTCCTGGGTGGAGAGAGGCACTGTGAGAGTAAAGTGTCTTGCCTAATAACACAATACAATGACCCAGGCCAAGGCTGGCTCCTGGACTACTGCTCGACTACAAAGTCCAGCACACTACATGTAGCTAACCATCAGGCCACCAAGTGCTACACTTCTCCCTATTAACTTTGCACCAAAAAACAGTCCCTTTTAGCTTTACAACTCTCTCAACACCATACCTTTAGAACAAGAAACTGCCCTTCTGGTATAAGTATTGTGTCCTCCATATCATAGTGTCGAATGTCTACCTCCATCTGAAGTTCTTCGATGTGAAGAAGGGATGCAAATTTTTCAGGATACTGTGGCATTTGTAAGCCTACTTCTTGTTCAAGCAGCGCTGACAGCTCTTCACCAGGTTGGCCTTGGTTTAAACCCAAGCGTAATTGAAAGGGAATGTGGTAGTCTTTGAGAGGGACTGGGTAACGTAACTTACTGTCTGGTCTGTGGATGATAAGGAAATACATTCAATCTTTCCTTACTTTTGTTTACAAAAATTTATGTCTACTAGAAAATAATCCAATTCACAAGACAAAGCATTTATATCATGTTCCATTATAAATATGGGATTGCTGCTTATCAGTTTTTTTTTTTTTTTTTTTTTTTGCTCTTTTGAGAGATGAAAAACTTTGAAACCATTCACTGGTTAAAAATGTTTAGAGCTTCGACTCCTGCAACTGCCGCCTTCGACAGGTGCAATGATAAAAAAGTGGTGAAAAC